GCTTTATTTTTCTTTTGAGTAAGAGCATTCTTGAAGCAAATTTTGAGAATTTCTTTCAGGAGTTACTGCAGTAAATCCACACCATTGGTTTCAGCAGCCGTGGTTCTCAGGTGCTCTCTGGAGTCACTTAAGTGTTGAAATCCCATTCTTTATTACTCCAGCCACACCACGAGGCCTGCCCACACTGGTGTGGAGGCTCTCAGTCACCTCAGACAGAAGCTCTTCAAACATTTGGTCTATCCAGAGGTGGGAGGGGCTTCTGGCCACAGACAGAAAGAAATATAGATGGCTTCTTTGCCCAGTTCTCATCTGCCAGGCGCTTCTGCTCCAGGACACTGTGTCTGCCAGTTAGGCTTGGGGTAAATGTGGGGTGCACAGATCTGAATGTGCCCCTCTCACAGCAGGTGCCAGATGGCATGTCCTCAAGGGAGATTTGCCAGCCAACCCTGCAGCCACTCATGGTCATGCTGGGGAGACCAGTCCAGTCTTCCTGAACACAAGGAAAGCTAATGTTTGTTGATGATTGCTGGTGACAGGCTCTGTTCTCGGTGCTTCTGATGTGTTCATTCATTTAACCCTCACATTAACTCTATGAATTGGGAAGGGTCAGTCATGTCCATTCTTCAAATAGGGAAAATGAGGCAGAGTGGCCCACACTGATCCAGCCAGTAGTTCAGGAGGCCAGGATTTGAGCTAAGGGAGTCTGTCTTAATTACTTCTCTCCCCCCGGGACAAAATACCTGAAACCCACAAGTTAAAGGGGGAAAGATTTATCTCAGCTCACAGTTTGTAGGGGTTTCAGACCATAGGTGGCTGGCTCTAAGGCAGGGCAGCATAGCAGAGGAAAAACAGTCCATGGCAGGGCAGGCAGGAAGTAGTGAGCAACAACATTGAGCCTCCCTTTCCTTTATCCAATCCAGGCTACAAGCCTTTTGGGTGGTGCCACCCACACCCAGGGTGGAGCTTCCATTGTCCTTACCCACAACTATGATAAACCAATCCATGGACTAATTTAGTGCCACACACACTTAATCCCAGCATCACACACCCTAGATCCAGCCAGTTCTGCAAAGCCCCACCTATGAGTGTTCAAGGCTTGGGGGAAGATCCAGACATGAGCTGTAACAGTCTGTTTGAAAGCTCCCAGCGTGGACCCTAACACTGCATTAGTGTTGGTTTGAATTTCTAAATTCTGTCTTTCCCTCCTTCCTTCTCTCCCTTCTTCCTTCCATGCCTCTTCCCAGTCTTCCCTTCACTTTTTGCTTTCTCTTCCATGCTTTGAAACACCTGCTGAGGGCCCTGCATCTTGAGCCTCTCAGACCAGAGCCTCTCTTGATGAAGTAAGGATGCAGGGTGCAGGGTGGTGTCAGGCGGCCTCAGCCCCCATTCATGGTACTGCACCCCTCAGAGTGTTGGGTGGTGTGGACCTGCTGCCCCCTCAGAGTCACCACACTTCTATGCAAAGCCCCCTGAGGGGCAGAGGACACATCTTGGAGAGGCAGGAGGAGCCGAATGCCTGGTGTTCCGAGCCAGAGGCGGCAGAACAGAGAGCTGCAGAGTATGGCTCAGGCTGCACCATGCCTCAAAGGTCAAGAGCTTTATATTTAAAAATCCGGGGGTATTATAGGGAACCCCAGATCCCAGATTCTCTAGAACAGGTCCTCTCTATTCAGCATGACTGACAGCCGTCACCAGACTGTAGCAGGGTCACCCCTTTGAGGGACACAGCAGGACCACTGTGCTGAGAGCTGTACCACACTGCGAAACACAGTTTCCTCCCTGTGATTCGGAGACATCCAATGTGCATTTCTTGAGAGGGAGAAGATAAGACAGCGTGGCCCTGGAGAAGGGGAAGGGAATCATATGAATTCATAAAAGTAAGCGAATCAGGGAGTCAGTTCTGAATCTTCCTTGTTCTGAATCAGCTTGCCCCTCTGTCAGGCTGACCTCGCTGGGCCTTTCATCTCAGACATCGCTGGGGTCCCTGTGGACACAGAACAACCCCTCCCTGTCTCTGCCTCGAGTCTCAACCCCCTGAAATCTGACAGAGTTCCAGAAGCTTCTGCCCCCCCAGGACCAGAAGCTGTCTTGAGCTCACTCGGGCCAGTTGTGTCCAGCTCTTTGAAAGCCAGGGGTTTCTTCCAATTTCAAGAGTTTTCCACTCTGGACCCAAGAGGATGCTGGTCGGCTCACAACTGGGTATCTGGGTAGGGGTGCAGCAGCATGTTTGGGATGGGCACGCTCGGGGTCCCCCCTACCCGGGGATGAAGGCCTAGCAGATGTCATGGGTCCCTAATTGCGGGGATGGGAGCCTCAGCCACCACCCTGCGGGTTTGCACTGAGACGTGGAATGATGCACGCATGGATGGTGGCCCGTTGCACGCAGTACACACTGTGACTGTCTTGTGAGCAGCAGGGTGGCATTTTCACTCTTCGGTTAGCCTGAGCAGAACACCTTAGGAAGGTTCTCATTGCTCCCCCAAATCATCCACCCCTCTTGTCTTCCAAAGCCAGAGTGAAGGTGCCGGCCGCCTCGCCTCCTGCCTGCTGTCCAGCCAAGCGCGTTGTCTCGCTATGGGCCACTGTGGCCTCAGGAGGAGGCGGTGTGTGGGCTCCGTGGCCACCCTCTCCAGACCCCCAGGCCGAGGGAGGGCGGTCACCTGACCTCAGGATAGCAGGATGACGGCCTGCACTGACGCCCACAGGGGGCTCTGGAGGAGAACGCAGATGCGCTGTGAAGCCCTCAGCTCTGTGTGCAGAGGGCCCTCAGGGTACCGAGAGGGCAGCTGTGACAGTTGGGACTCTGCCCCCTGCAGGAGAGCGCGCGTTTGCTGAGTAGTCGATCAAGAATCCCAGCAGCCGGCAGCCAGCGGGATGAGGGGTGCCGGGCGCAACATTTGCACTAAGAACCCAGTGAAACCAGACTTCTCCCAACTCCGAGCCCCACTGCTGACCTCCCAAGATAGAAATTCACTCCTGAGATCTGCAGCCCGGGGCTGGACAGTCCAGGCGTTACCTCAGTTTCCCCTCCAGAAGGATCCCTGGTGTCTCAGAAGCTGTGGTCCTCTGGGCCCCACCTTGGGCTCAGGGAGCTTCAGGCAGAGTCCGTGTCCCTGGGCTGGGGTTACCTCCTGCTGGCCCCAGAGCGGGCCCGGGGTGTGCGGTGGGGAATTAGCACCCAGCTGCTGAGACACCCTGAGACTGCAGGGCGCAGCCGAGGCTGATGATTGGCGGGCAAAGAGCAGGGCTGCACCCCACTGTCCACATGTGAGCTCCCGGTAGGCTGTGGAAACCCTGCTTCACTCTGCCTGGGAACAAGCGGCCTTCCCAGGAGACACCAGCCCGCGATGGTGCTGGCCATGCAGCCACTGCTCGGGCGGCCTTTTTCGGGGCACAGCGGGGCATCCCAGGCCCCTCAGCCCAGCCCTCGAGGCTCCTGGGACCTGGCCACCTCACAAACCCAGCCTCAGGCCTGCAGCACTGCTGTCTTACGTCCCATCCGTGCTCCTGCCAGCAGCACCAGCCTGGTCTGCCTCCTCCTCTCTGCCCAGCAATGCCAGTGGCTTTGCCCGCACAGTCCAGAGAGCAGCTTAGGACTCGCAGGCGAACGCTGCCTGGCGCAGTGACTCACACTCGACTGCAGAAGCAGCCACAGCAAAGGCGAAAACAAGCAGACAGGGCTGTGCTGCTGCAATGTGGCAGCCAAGCACAGGGCCAGAGGGGGCAGTGTGCTGTCCCCTGCCTTGCAGAAATGTCCCTCTGGCCGCTGTGTGGTCCTTGGCTCTAGGCAGGGTGGGATGCTCCATTTCAGGTCGGCTCTGCCCCCGCTAGCTGGGAGGCTGTGAGCGAGCTGCTTTTCCTTCCTGGGCCTTCGTTTCTTCGTGCGAACCCTAACCCCCTGGACCAGCCCTGGTTCCCGAAGCCCACGGGGTGAGCCTGCTGAGCCTAGGTCTGGGCCCCTGGGACGGGCAGGGCTGGTCTGGAGTGTTAGACTCCAGGTCGCACTCACTAACGGTCCTGGGCAGAAGAGCTCTCACGACAGGACCGAGGCCACTCAGCATCTCAGGGGCAGCTGCTGGGCTGGGAGCGGTGACCTCCCGCCAGGCACGTGGCACCAGGGATAGCGTGGAGGAGAAAAGCCCCCAGCCTCTGTAGAAGGCGCTGGGGAATCAATCCCACACACGCCAGTCACCTGGCACGGGGGCTGCATGCCAGGAGCACCCACCGCTGCTGCAAAGAACCAGGGAGCCCCCGTGCCTTCGCAGTGGCTGCCTCACCCCTGCCACCCCTGCATCTGTGGCCAGCCTGCATCTAGCGCATGGGAGGCTGGGACTGGGGTGCATGCTCCTCAGCCCCCCAAGGAGAGGGAGCAGCTAACAGAGTCGCGTACAGCATCTGCCAGCACCTATGAAGGTGAACAGAGGAGGGCCCTCTTAGTTCAGAGCGCAGCCAGGTTCAGGCTGTATCAGGCAAACTGGGTGAACTCATTGTCAGAAGAGCTGGTAAAGCTGCGCGTGGTGGTGCATGGCTTACAATCCCAGCGCTCTGGGAGGCTGAGGCAGGAGGGCTGCAGGAAGTTCAAGCTCAACCCAGACAATTTGGCAACACAGCAAGACCCTGTCTCAAAATACAAAAAATAAATAAAAAATTTTAAAAGCTGGGGATGCAGCTCAGTGGGAAGGCTGTGGGTTCCATCTCCAGTACTGGGAGGAAGGAAACAGAGAGGAGGAGGAGCAGCAGAGGGGAGGGAGGCTGGTATAAACCCATCCCAGGGCCTCAGGGACGCCCACCTATTAGGGCCCAATGTGAAGGCCCTGCCCAGAGCCCCAGCTTGTGGGCGCTGCTGTCCTGGCTGCCTGCTCCCTAACCTGCAGGTAGGGCTCCGGCAAGCCCCAGAGCCGACCCTGGGAGGCAGCCCCTCCCTGCTGAGAGGATGGTGAAGGGGAGAAGGGTCTTCTGAACGAGGTCAGCCTAACGCCGTTTCTCCTGGCCTCTTCCAGAAGCGGCAGCTTGTTCAGCGAGGTGGTGCAGATGAACTTCGAGATCGCCAGCTTCAGCAGCCTGTCGGGGACCCAGCCCATCACGTGGCAGGTGGAGTACCCAAGGAAGGGGACCTCCAGCGTCGCCGTGTCCGAGATCTTCATCAGCCAGAAGGACCTGGTGGGCATCGTGCCCCTCGCTATGGTAAGGCGAGTCGTCGGCGGGCCACACCCGGCATCCTTCCTTCCTCCCAGGACGTTTGCTGCTGTGACTGCTTGTCACGGTTTTGTTCTTCTTGGTCAGTTTTTGTCTTCTTCTTGCACAGAGCTGAGCTTCCTTCTTCTCCACCCCTTCCCTCTCCCTCTCCCGTGTCCCTTCACCCCTTGCTCCCTTCCCATTTGCACAAGAGCCGTCCCCCGCCTCCGGTTATCTACCTCTGCACTTTGCTCTTGAATTTGTGTAGAAGAGCCACCGCTTTTCAGGAGGTGTTGTCTCCCCAAATCCCCTACTTCCTCCACCCCGGAAGTTGGTCTTGTCACGCTCACCTCGGCCTTTCTCGGCTTTGGTGATTCTTTGGACTCCACCACGACCTTCCCCAAGTCATCACTCCCGACTTACTGCTCTCTAAGTCTCTCCCAGATCCTCTGTTTCTTTTAATAAGGAAACCCGGGGCTACCCCGTGGGTTACTCAGATGACCTAGGCTCTGGTGTCACAACAAAGAAGGTCTAGCCCCTCGGGGACTAGAGCCCCAAAGGCCACTCCTGGCTACACTGTGCCACCCACGTGGCAGGGGGCGCTGTGCCATGCTGTCCCTGGGGGTCCTGTCCAGCTCCCTCCTGCCCCGTCCATGCGTGAGAGCGAGAACGTCCTCGCCCCCTCTTCCCTAGGATGACAGGGACGAGTCAGCAAGGGCTCCCGGTAGGCCGCCATCACCCTAGGGTGTAAAAGCGGGACTGAGTGTCCGCGGGTCCAGTGCAAATGCGCTTGCATTGCCCTCAGGGACCAGCCTCAACCAGAGCTGACAGTGAGCGCGCTGCTCGTCAGTTAAGCTAGAGATCCTGGGATGTGGATTGGTCAGGACTCTCTGGGTTGCAAGCCCAGCCCCACTGAAATGCAGCTCACGTAACTTAGGAATCTGGAGCAGTGTTCCATGCACGCCCGTGTGCCCGCTTGGCACATGAGGGTTTGGAGTAGGTGCACAGCCTCCTCTAGGAGGCAGCGCTGGGAAACCTCCCAGGGACCCGGCCCGGCAGCCCTGCCATGCTCAGGAGCCGCCGCTGTGGCCACCGAGAGCTGCTCTCCCCCAGCTCCACCACCCTCTGCTGGTATCACCAGCCAGCCCTGCACGCGTCATGCTGGCATCTTCCAAGCCAAGCACCCACGGGCTGACTCAAGAGCCGATTGGTGCAGCGTGGGCCACACGCCCAACCGGAGCCGAGGCTGGGAAGCCTGGCACCTTGGGGCAAGTGCAGAATCTCCCGAGAGCAGGTGGCTGTGGTGGGTCACCAGAAGCTTGGCTTTCCCTGAGAGGGGGCTCGGGCAGTGGTCAGAGAGAGATAACAGATATCCCTGCAGAGGCCCCATGGCCACGCAGATCCTCGGGGACTCGGAGGTTGAGGGGTGGTTCCTCTGACTTCTTGTGACCACTGCAGCCCACGGCCACGCGATCTGCCATACAGCTGGGCCCTGGTGAGCTGGCCACGGTTCTCCTGTTCCTGGACATCGCCAGGGTGAATGGTTACGTTCGGCACTCGCCGTGCTGACCACACCTGTTGGCTTACAAACCCTGAAGCATTTTCACTCGCTGGCCCTTTGGAGAGAGACTGTGCAGACGCACGTCCCAGAACACACACGAAGTCAGCCAGAGGGTGTACGCACCGGGCTTCTCTCCTGCTCGTTCTGAAAGCACGAGGCATTCAAATACGTTGGGAAAACAAACCTACTAGAAGGATCAAAGATATCGTTAGCCCCGTTTCCAGCGCGCACATCCTCCTCGAAGCGAGACGCTATCATCGTGCTTATTGTGTTCCCGTGATCTCTCTAGGGCAAGGCGAACCGATGACTGATGCCACAACTAGCAATACAACCGCAGTTTCATCAGAAGATGAGGAGTTTTTTTAAACAGCAGAACAGGAAGGAACCCTTGGCTGCCCCTGTGCGGCCAGGGAGAGGGCTGGTGAGGCCTGTGAAGCTCCAGTGAGCTTCCCAGCGGTTGCTGGAGGCAGGGAGCAAGCTTTGCAAGGCCGGAGGGAGAGGGAGGGTCCCAGGGAGCAGCGCCTGGCACCCCTTCCTCTTCCGGGCGGGCAGGGCAGCCCTGTGGGGGTGGAGCAGCGCAAGGCCACCACGCTCCTCAGGGCATCCCCGCTGGCCTGCAGCCCCTCCTCCCGCCCTGAGTGGCCAGGGCCAGTGAGCACTTGGGAGGCGCCGAGGACAGCGGCTGTCCTGCCTCAGCCTGCTGCCCGGTGTCCCCACCGAGGACAGGGACGCAGGCCTGGGCTTTGGGCCCTGCACGCTGCTCCTCCTCCAGCCCTGGCTTCCCCCTTGCCCCATCCTGCCCGTGCAGAGGGGACAGGGCTAGCCTCCAGGCGGGCTGGGCTCTCCAGTGGCCCTGGTGCCCTCCTGGGGCAGCCTCCGCCCAGCACGAGATGCCCCAGGGGTGGCGGGGCTCCCTCAGGCCCCTCCCGGCCCCCTGGGACACTGCTCCCTCGCCTGCTGGACAGGGGCCCGATGTGGAGGAGTCACGGAGGCCAGTGCTCAGCCTGCAGCTGACAGGCGGGAACTCTGCCTCGGGGAGGAGGAGAAGGGGAAGCTACTGTGTCCTCCGTGAAGGAGACGGGGTCCACACTTGTAACCTCAGCACTCTGGGAGGCTGAGACAGGAGGATCCCAAGTTCCAGCCCAGCTGGGCAGCTTAGTGACCCAGTGAGAGCTTCTCTGAATAGAAAATAAAAGGGCTGCGGATGCGGCTGCAGCTTGTGGTAGAGCACCCCTGGCTTCAGTCCCCAGCACGGCAGATAAACAAACAAACCACAGAAGAATGCTGTTTTCTTGCTTCTCAAGGACATCCGGCCCTGACCCCGAGCTCCTTCTGTGACTGCAGAGGGCGTGTTCAGCTCTCCGAGCTCCTAAGGACGGCATGCACAAGGCGACAGGAAGAGGTTGAAAAATAACTGTGCAGGCAGAATAATCGCGTCCTCATCCCGCCTGGACATTTACTTTGGAATTAAATTGAAAAACGTCCCTTCTCTCCAACTCACTGGCCCAGAATTTTGCCTGAAAAGCAAATCCGGGACTCAAATGAATCTGCTTTTGTGGTGGGCACGGCTGCAGCCCCGCTGGGGGATGGAGCGGTCCCTGAGACCAGCACAGTGACACTGGGACGACCACGCACCTGGGCCCATCCAAGGAGCAGGGCGAGGCAGCCGCCCCGTGGATGCTGGGCAGGGGAGGCCGGGAGAGCTGTCCAGGGCCCACGGCTTCTGGTCTCTGGGGAAGGGAAGCAAAGCAGCTGTGGCAGGGCCAGAGCCCCAGACGCGGGCATGGAGGCGGCTGAGGTTCGGTGGCCGCCCGCCCGTCCCTGCAGTGGGAACCAGTGTTTCTGGAACCTTCAGGGTGACACCCGGGGACCCCCTGGAACTGGGGAGCAAGGCTGGGCTTCACTTAGCGGCCTGCACTTCTCTGTCTAGAAGAGACGGCTTGGCAAATGCGTGTGTGCGTCCTCTGCAGTGCTCTGCGTCCACCAGAAAGGGCCACACCGGCAGCCTGAACAGTGTGGATCACAGAGAGGGCCTCCCATCCAGCCCTCGGCCTCTCCGACCATTCACAGAGCCTGCCATGCCAACACTGCCTCCGCTCATCGGGAGCCTTGTGCAGTGCAGAGCCTGCCCAACTGTCCTGGGCAGCCCCGCAAACCAAGAAAGCCCTCTTTCCCTACTTAGGTGGAAACAGACACCCTCTGTGTGTTCTCCTAACACTTCAGGTTTTTAACCCTAAACTGATTCCTGCTTTGCCTGTGTCACAGCGTGGAGTGACTCATAAAGGGCTTGATAGTCTCCATGTCCCCGTACTTCTTTCCTTCTGGATCGCGGGGGAAAGTCAGGACATGGGAGCCGGTGAGTGTGGCAGTCCTGGCAGCTGCTCACCCAAGTGCTCCTGCCAGGAGTCCTCCCGCCTGTGTCAGGATGCAGGGCCGGCGTCTGCGTCCCCAAGCGTGATCGAGCAAGGACTTACAGCATTCGCTAGCTTCAGACCTAGAATCCACTGCCAGATGGGGTCGCTGGTTGGTCTCAGACCCACGCTCGCCTGACATGCGGATCCTGGTCCGGCCCCTCAGCAAGGGATGCGGAGCTGCGCCCAGCCTGGAAATCTCCAGCCAACAGCCCGGCACCCAAAACTCTGACAGTGAGACCGAGAGAGACCTGTTCACGGGTTTCATCCCCACAAGCCTGAGGTGGGTGCAGACTGGAGGAGAATTAGTCTTGGTGCTTCGCTCCATACATGAATGCAAGAGCAGCTGAAGGATGTGAGATTTCTTTTACTCCATCTGGATTTTTGTCGCAGACTTTGAAAAGGTCAGTAGCAGCACCTTCATTTATTTTATTGACAGTGTTCGTTTGCCTTCCGGAAGCACTTCAGGGCACGTTCCCTTGGCCCTGTGTGTGCTGCCTGGTGTGGGACACGTGTGAGCCCCAAACCCTCTCTGGGAGTGGAGAGCAGCCCAAAGCTCTGACCTTGGGAACTTCATAAAGGCCCCTGCAGCTTGAGATTCTGCTTCCACACGGTACGGAAATCCCACTCCCTGCCCGGAAACCCAAGCCCTCCTCCAGCGGGAGCTCCCTCTTGCCCAGGAGCTGTGGCAGGTTTGCAAAGCTGAGGTCAAAAGTGCCACGCATCACACCTGTCCCTGCGAGGGTCCCAGAGGCAGGGTCCAGCCACCCCCACACACCCCAACCAGCTCTGCTGTCCCCAGGCCTGACCTCACAGGGCAGGCGCAAAAGTCCTTAGTCCACTCTTTAAATACAGCTTTATCCAGTTAGCTGGCTGTGATGGCGCACGCCCGTGATCCCAGCAGTCAGGAGGCCGAGGCAGGAGGATCGATTTGAGTTCAAGGCCAGCCTGAACTACACGGTGAGACCTTGTCTCAAAACACAAACAAACAAAATGGGATTTATCGGGTTGTAACTGAAGTACCCAAAATGTACCCA